GGGCGACGGCGGCTGCTGGTGCGGCTGTCCCAGGAGCGCGGCCGCCCAACCCCGCGCGCCTCCATCGTCCGCCTCCGCCTCCTCAGCAGGCCCGGCCCCGGGCAGGCGGGGAGAGCACGGCACCCATGCGCACTAGGAGCGCCGGCTTCTACCCGGACAGCAACGTCGTGACGCAGCGCGGTTGCGTTCCGCAGTCCCGGCAGTTGGGAGGGGGGAGAGGAGGAAACACCCCTATCGCGTCTGCGCGAGCCGGGCCAAGGGTGGGAGCGTTACTGCGCATGCGCCCTCAGCCTTTTCCCACGGGTTTGGAGCGCGGCTGTGTGGTACCAGCCCGTGCGCGCCGTTGTTTCAGCCCTTTACCGTCCATCAACAAGAATAAAAGTGTTCAAAATGTACGAGGGGTTTTGAGTTTGGTAGCCGTGTTGGTGTGAGACAAAAAGAAATGCACAGATCTAGAAGTTTTGGTTCAGACGGGATACTTTTTATTAGACCAACTACGAAATCACAACAAACCTGGCTCTTTCTGCAAGCTTTCGGGCTCGCGCCCTTCATGGGAAAATTAAAGATTACCCTGCCTGATCCGCGCAGCAAAGAGACTCTCGTGGGCCCAGAGGGACAGGCCTCTGTCTTAAGCTCCCTTTGTGCAAAAATTGAGTTTAAAGATGGTAAAAGTCCCCATCGGTAGGAAATAATTTTCCCTGAGCCTGATGAGGGGCGTGTGCACCCCATAGCTTGCAGAACAAGACCGCTTTTTTGCAGTCTCTTAGTTGGTCTAAGAAAAGGCATCAGCTCTGAACCAAGACTTTTAGAGTATTGCATTTGATAACTTTTGAGGCATCTAATTGACAACACATGCAAAACCCAAGTCTCTCAGGAAGTCCTATCCAACTTTTGGGTTTGCAGTCAGCACTTTCTCAAGCCTGACTGCTTGCCTCCAAATAAAAAAAATGCTTCACCTTTGATGTTCCAGTTGTCCTCACTCACTGGAGGCTTACAGTGAGCAACATAAAATACAGACAATTTGTTTGCATATTTTTCACTGTATGAGTTTGCCAGCAAATATGATGATTTTGAGCTTCCAATATGATCATTTCATATTTAAGACTTGGCAATGCTGCGCAGGTGGCCAGTGCATGTGAGCTCTTGAACAACTGAGCGCCCCCCAAGGCAGGCACACGCAGGAAGTGCCCCACAGCCCATGTCTCAGCCCAGTTCAACTAAGGTGAAGTGAGGCTGGGGAATGCCAAGGCCTCTGGGCCTGGGGCTTGCACACTGATGCCTGGCAGGATTGGGGGGTATCAGCAGCCCCAGACCAATGGGCCTGGGAGGGAGGGTACTTGCCTGGTGGTAACAGGTTCACCAGCAAATGCAGATGCACTTGTAGAAGCTGTGATGTAGACTTCTTTGGAGTAGGTGAGGTGCTGGCACCAGTGTCATGTAGACAGGTTCAGAGCAGGGATATGACAAAACATCAGCATGCTGAACTCCTGCCTTGGGCCACTGCATGCCACAGGTGGAGCTGCTATAGTTGGAAATGTTTAGAGAAATCTTATAATAAGTAAGTGTATCATCATAAGACTGACTCACTCACCAGCTTCAGCTAGACACCAGGCAAAATCAGCAGGCAGCCTCCTACACAGGATTGCAAACAGGAACACAGACAGAACTCCAATAAATTGGTGTGATGCTTTAGTGTCAGGTGCAGGATCTTTCATAAGATAGTTGGTGAAATAATGGCCCTGTTCATCAGCAGACATGATTTCTTCAGCTGAACTGCAACAACCTCAGGCAAGGATTAGGTATTTCTGCTAATTGTGGAGGATGCTTCACACACTCGTGGATGCTGTAAAACATGGACTGTTCTGCATTCATCCCTAAACCATGGAGAGGAGCTATGTACCTCCTCTGAGTGCTGATAGATCATAGGTGCAGGGCTGTTACTGGGAGTGCTGCTGTTATGGAATGACATACAAGAAACTGTAGGAATTGCAATGTTTTCACATCCCATTCAAGATCTCTAGCTCATGTAATTATGGGTACACTAAACGTGTGTCAGATGCAGCTTCAGGACTTGCTAAACATGTGTGGCAAGGAGTTCTGAATTCATTAAAAATCCTGTTCAATTACTGGTTTGAAGTATCCAACAAGCATCCAAGTATATCCTGTTATGAATACACACTTGGCATCAACCCCTTGCTGTTAGTGTGTTTCATTGCTGTGCAGCAAGCTATCAAGCTCAAAGGCAAGCCTTTTGTATCTGTACATGGTTTCCATCTATGCTGTATCTTTATCTGTTGTGCCTTTCACTTACTGTTTGTTTTTCAGCTGAAACAAGGTAAAGGTAAATCCAGAATCTAATCAACATTCACTGAAGTGAAGTGCAACGTAATGTGGGCCTGTATGTGCAGTATAGTCAATCAGTGGCGATGAGCAGGGGATGCACAGGGTGCATGTGCACCCCCTGAGAGGCCATGCTCCCCACTTAGGCAATGGACAGGGTGCTCCCCCTGCAAACGCCAGCCAGGGAGTGGGTGCACCCAGATGACCGCTTCCTGGTCAGTGAGATAGGCCATGGGGGACCCCCACCCGCCCCAGTTCCTGACTGGTTGCCAACTATGATGGCACCAGTCGCCCATGTAGTTAACAAAAAGAACTTGAATCAGTATCCTAACATGCTATCTGCTGCAGTTATACTACCAGATCACCTCCCCTGAGATAACACACGTGTGTTAGGTAGACCACACAGCAAATTCCTGGAGTGATTCAGCCAAGATGTAGTCCAGGTGCTTATGTAAGAGGATGACACAGGAAAAGGATGAGCATTTAATGATTCAAAGTCACACGAGCATGGCACAGTGATATAATGGTAGGCCCTGGGTTGAAATATAAATGATAACACACCGAGAATCAGTTAATTTGTTTTTTGTTGCATGGAGGGATGGGGTGGAGGGAAGGCACTTCTGTCTTAAATTCTTTTCTCGTGGTTATTTCTCAAAGTATAAAACTTTAGTCCACCTTGTTGCAAATAGTTATCAAAATGCATCACCACCTGCGTAGGTGAAAACCAACCTGAGATTGACACTCTAATCCACTGTCTCATTCCCTTAACTTCCAAGGTCCACTTCTGCATTTTTCACATGAGGAATTCTTCTTCATTATGATGGTACGGCTGCTTGAAAGGATTAGTTCTTCAGGACCCTTAAAGAGAAGAGATCAGGGGATGGAGTTTGGACAAAGCTAACTTCCACTCAGAGTGATAATGAGTGTCCCAGGGGATATCTTTATCACAGAAACACTGTCTCTAACTGGCCCCTGCCTTGATCATCACAAGCAGACGGTCAAGGATTGGATTAACTATGGAAACTGAAGGTCCCCAACATGTCAAATATAAAGCATGGTGACAGGAAAAGGCTTGCTGTACTGTTGCTCAGGACTTTGCCTTAACACAGAGAATGTAATGACAGCCACAAACCTGCATTTTGACCTTTCCTCGGACATCTGGCTAAATATTCTCCCTGCTGTAAAATTCTTCTTCAGCACCCCAGAGCATGCCCCTTATCTCCTCGTGTAGGAGCCTGACCTTCCATCCCCAGAGCAATTGATTTCCAAATGATCACATGGGCCCAACTTCTGAGCAAGGCTGAGAAAATGCAACTCACTTCAGTGGGAGTAGGATCTGGCCACTGACTCTGTAAAACAAAGTATTTCAACAGGAAATTGCAGGAGGGCTCCAGCATCTTAGGATTTGGCCCTTTGACATTAATGTGATGGGTTACATTACTTCCCCTGCTTCCCTAGAAATCTGGAGGAAGTTTGTCCTAGATGTGAAAAGGAGTAAGGTGGGGCCCTGGTACAGCTGCATAGTAAATACAATGCTGTCCCTGCCTACACAATTGTCTGAGAGGAAGTCTTGTCCACTGACTGAATATTACTTAAATTGCATTCAATAACATTTGTTAACCCAGGCTTAAACGCGTGGCTTATCCAAGGCAGCTCTGATCAAAGCATATCAGGCCAGAGCTAGGGTAGTTTTCTCCATCTGATAATATGACCCATTATTTACTTACTACGGCTTTTTTCCCTCCTAGCTAATGTGCCAGTCCCCTACAAAAGAAACATAAAACGGGGAGCTCCTACAGATGCTGGGGAGGCGTAGGGAAGGGTTGTTTTGACAAGTCACATTTCCTCAAAACAAGAGCGTTTTCAAAGAATTGGGAAGTTTCAGTGGGGAAGTTCATGGGAGGAAATGGTACGGTAATACATGCTGAAAAAGAGGAAGCGCCCAACTTGGGTGGGGAAATGCCCAAGGGGTTTCTCCCCTTCCTGCCACCCCATTAGAAAACAAACAGTATTTGCAGAGACCAACCAAATACATGATTTCACAGAAACTGTGTATGTGACATCGTGTAATTGGCAGTCTCCTGTGAAATAGCCGGGTCCCCTGTGGAAGAGTGCAGGAAACCGGCTATGCTCAAAAAGCTGTCTCCTAGAAGGGCAAGAGGAGGGGGAAGGGAGCAAAGAAGAAAAAAATAAAGGCAGCCTAACAGGGGGTGGGGGAAAGAGGCAGGAAAAGTTCCCATCTCTTTGTCTCCAGAAGGGGTGGGGGGAGCAGGGAAAAGCCCCCAGAAGTCCACTGTTTGCTTACTCAGTAATTACCGCTGTCTGCCCCTTGAAGAGGGTAATAATTACTGAATTAACAAGCCAGGCAGCTCCAGCTAGGACTTTCAATAAATGCCTAGCAGGAGTGGGACTTGCTGCACCCCTCAGCCAATCAGAAGTGTGGGGGGCTTTGCTCCACCTTCAAAATGGCAGCCCCGGCCTCAATACGGCTGTGAAATTGGGGGTCCTGGCTATGTTACAGCTGTGTAATTGGCTGCCAGGGCCTGTGAATTTGATAGGTCCCTAAGTAATTGCTCTCCCCCCCCCCCCCCCCCCCCCCCCCCCCCACCCAAAAAGGGACAGCTCTGGGTGGGAGCACAATGCTGTTTTTGTATTCCCCCTCAGGCT